GCAAATGGTGTGCTATGGGAAAACATACAGCTTGGATAGAGAGAGTGGGTGCGTGGGCCCCACAAGGAGCTCTGAGCCAAGTGAAAATATTTAGCATATGTATTTATATAAATACATGGTATTTGGATTGATTTGTGACCACTCTTGTATGATTTGTGCATTTTGGGGGTTTAGGGTCCATTTTAGGAAATGGCACCCGGGTGGTCAAATTTTGATGTATGGGGGTTTTCCATCATTTGAATGTTCTATCAAGTGTTTTTAATCTTATTTGACGTGTCCAAAGTGTTTCCACAGGTTTGTGACCATTAGGATGGGATTTGGACAATTTTGAAAATGGTTTTTATCAAAAAGCTGCACTTTTGCATCCGGGTGTCCAAATCTTAATCCGACCGTTGGATTTCTCTAAAATTAGTAAAACCTTTTATAAGCTTCATGTGGGCTTTAGAATCACGTCGATCGGATATCAGATGATGAAATGGTGTACTCCGAAAGTTGGTCCGGAAGTGCTGTCATGACAGCTTTTTAGCTGTCATGACAGCAAAAATAGTCAATCTTTTAACATGTCTAATTTTTAATCCGACCGTTGGATCTTTTTGAAATTTGGTACACTTATAGTACCCTTTGAATGTGACGTGTGAGCTTTAAAATCACTTCAATCGGAGGTCGAATGACGGAACACCGCCTCCTGGAAGTTGGCCCAGGAGGGCTGTCATGACAGCAATAAATTACTGTCATGACAGCTGCGAGTGGTGGACTGGGCCGTGCCACCTCACGGCAACCACCAGCCGGCTTTCCCCATGGTAGTTCATGGGTTATTCCCCGCACCCACTGTGCTAAGGGAGCCTTCCCAGGTTCGATCCTCCAACCTCTCCTACATAGCGAAGTTGAGGCTGAACCTGGTACCATTGAGTCAGTTGACTCAATGGTACCAGGTTCAGCCTCAACTTCGCTATGTAGGAGAGGTTGGAGGATCGAACCTGGGAAGGCTCCCTTAGCGCAGTGGGTGCGGGGAATAACCCATGAACTACCATGGGGAAAGCCGGCTGGTGGTTGCCGTGAGGTGGCACGGCCCAGTCCACCACTCGCAGCAGTGGGCTCGGGGGGTGTGACTGTTACACATGCTATGCTCAAGAAAAAGAAGAATCAAGAGAAGAAAATAGAACTTACATAGGTTACAATTTATTTTATTCTTTTCTTAGATAAGTTTGTGAAAAACTAATTGAGAGTTTAAACACGAATTAAAGTGAGATTGTATTATATAGAAAGTCATATGCTTATAAGTCCTAAAGGTTAAATAGTCTTATCTATGCAAGGACAAAAAGTGTCCACATATGTTTGACAAATGTTTGCATGCTTTCGTTCACTCTTAGATTGTAAGTATCCCACACATGTTTGATCATCCTTTGTGCATATAGGACTTAAAAGATCTCAATCAAGCTTGAACTATAATTGGACCTTACTTGAATTAGAGAATCAGAAGTGAAGACATAGCACTGTATGTTGGTTCATGCTTGGACATCTTTATGTCCACACTTGATTAGCAAGTCAGTATGAAGAAATGTCTTGATTAAACTTTTATAATCTGATTCATGCCTCGATGTTATTTTTATCTACTCTTGATTGATCCTAAGTGTCAGCCTAAAGTGTGCCTAAGAAGCATTCCACACTTGGATTCTATTGAATCCACATGAATGAATGAAACACTTGTTAGCTTTCAAGATTAACTTAGAGAAAGCCTTAGTACTGAACAAGCTATCCAAGGTTAGTTCAAAAGTTTCTCAAGCATGGTTCACATCACAAAGAGGCAAGATGCCTTTGCACACTTATTCATGCTTGGTACCCAAATTGCCTACTTGTGTTTAGGCTTATAGTAAAGCTTGGTGCTTCAATATTCATCATACATTCTTGAATCCATATTGGTGAGCAATGAGAGGTGATAAGTGAGCAAATGTGATGATAGCTCATCCACACTTGGATCATGATTGTCCATGCATGAATGAGAGTTCTAATAGCATTTAATGCACTTTAAGGAAAAAGTGCTTATCTATCTTTGATCACTTTAGCATGTTTTCAACAGCTATAATTTATCTCCCAAGGGTTCCAATGATTTAAAAAACATTACTCTATACATATGATCTCATTGAAGTAAATGAGCAATAACATTGAATGAGCATTTAGTGTCTTGCATTGAATTCTTACTTGTTATTTTGTGAAAAAGTTCTCAAGCAGTTTATAAGCTTTTATTATTTTATATATACTCTTTAAAGAGTCTCAGTTGCAAAAATCTATTTTATTTTGTCTTTTAAAATTTTAGAAAGGATTTTCTAATTGTAATTATAAGAGCTTACTTGTATAAGTAAGTGTATATTGAAAATTAATATTGATTTTGTCTTGTGGTTGTACTATAAAACTTGTGTTTATAGTGGAAAATCTTAAGTGTGATATTAGAGATTGGAGGTAGGCCAAGTGGTAAGCTAAATCAGGATAAATCAATTGTGTCCATTCTTCTTTTCACTCAAAAACTCATTCATCACTCACAAATTTGTGCACAAATTATTCTACACTTTGCATCATCTTTTTAGTTGGGAAAAATTTTTGAGAAATTTTTAAAAACACCCAATTTACCCCTCTCTTAGGTACCGGCCTAATTCTACAGATGATTGTGTTGTGTTCACCAACAACTATGATAACTACAAGGGATCCCAAAATGTCCTTTAGGAGATGAATTAACTAAAGTCACTCTTTATTCATCTGACCCAAGACAATTGCAAATGCAATAGAGCACAAGTTATTATCGATATCATGAGTTGATGTAGATAATATGGTTCCACGATAAGGTCTAGTAAGGAAAGTTTCATCAATGTATAGGACAGGTTGGCATCCTTACATGAAACGTTCTATACAACACACATAACTAACAAAGAGTCTACAAAACCTATGGTCATTATCTATTTCTTATGTCGCTGCTGTTTTTGGATATGCCTCCATTAATCTTTCACAATGCCGAGGAATTGTCATGTATAATTGGTTAGGCCATCCTTTAATGTTTGCTAACGTTTTCTCTTTGCCTAACCATGCTTAATTATAGTTTAATGACACACCATATTCCCTACGCAACTCTTGCCAGATCTCATTGAGTGACTTGCCAACACAAACCTTCAGCCCTTTTTGTCTAAGACTAGATGCCAAGCTTGACCTAAATGACCTCTCTACAATCAAGTTGTCTTGCACAAAGTGGTCGTGTTCTTTAATAAAGATTGTCACTCTCATAAACTTTGACCCTTCCTCCCCCACCCTATAAACAGTGATGTCCTATGGACAAACTTTAACTTTAAAATTAGCTATAACCTTGCTAGCAATATTCCTCTTAAACTTAAATGTAAAATTATGAGCTATATTGTACTTGCAAAGTGCTTCTCTTACTTCATCAACAAGTTTTAACCTTTGATTTGGATTTCTTAGCAAGTCTTTTCGCTTCTTGGAACTAAGTTGAGGAATGAGTGAAAGGGCATTTTGAGGTATGAATGGAAACTCTTGTGATGAAATTATTGATGAAGATCAAACAATTGTTTGTAACAGTACTTGTGATTTTCTCAAGCATGGTTTGAACTTGCACAAAAATCAATAGTTATGTAAGCGTCATTTCTTTGAAAACAAAAAGCACCTTCTAATAATTATTGTAGCTTACTCTCATGAAATTGTCATTAATTGTGGCTATCCTTCACATTTGAAGTCACATGCTTCGTGTTGTATATACAGGTGTGCACATTTCTTATTATACTTTACTACTTGCCTCATAGTTTTATTACCTTCTACATCTTCTAGAGTCAATGTGTCCAAGTTCATGAGTACAGACTTAATGCTAAATCCTTCCAATTCAATACCTATGCATGAAGATATGATGCCCCTTAACTCATAAATTGTGGTTCCTTCTCTTACCATTTGTCCACGTGCCATCCCAACATTATATACAAATCCCTCTAAAGCTGTCACAATCTTCTCACTCATATGGAAGAAGTAATATATCTCATTCTCTTGCACACTAATCATTTTACTTGTAAGATAATAAAAAAACAAGAACCATAAGTTTCACAAATGAGAGAAAGATAATGAAACTAAGGGAGTAGAGAACTAATGATAGTATTAATTCATTATACTCTTTATGTCATGTGCTTTTTAAGTTTGGTGTGAGTATTGTGAATGTTAGTAGTGAAGATTATGTTTGGCAGTGAAGGGTGCAACCAAAAATTGCATCACAACACCATCAGACCAACCCAAAACCACTCTCCATCAATGCTTCTATACTTTTACAGCTAAGCATCGCTTCTAATTTTAAAGGTCTCAAACTTCAGAGGAAGCCTTATATGTAAGTTAGAGATAGTACTTTGAGGATTTCTGAAGCTAGATGGACGTTGGAGGATGGGCAAAGAGTCAATTGAACCACCTTTGCATTGAACAAGAACTCCCTTGCTTTCAAATGCATGAATAAAGCGTTTATCAATTGCGCTTAAACAAGGTCAATCCAAGCAATAAGTCCATGGACGAAAAAATTTTCAACATTCTTAGAGTAAGAAAGCAGTACCTGATTAGCAACGACTTCATTCATTATGCTCGGCCAAAGGTGGTCATTGGACCACCGTAGTTAGGCCTACGCGAGATGTTGGTGTTCCAATATTCAAAAACCTCGGCAACTTCTTACTTCATTTATTGCTTTTTTTCCCAAGTTTTAGGGGCATTTTGGTCTAATGATGAAGTTATTAAATAAATAAAAAAAATACTCTTAGTCCTTTAAGAATATTTGATCCTTGAGACCAAATTCTTTTTTAATTTGATTTTTTTTTTTTACTAATTTTTCCTTTACTTTTCTCAGCATTTCTTCTTAGGATTGGTCTTCAAGGGCAAATCCATTGGTTTCATTTTCCGACCTATTTTGTTACAAACGACGCCGTATTCTCTTAGTCTTAGTGGCGACTAGAGACGGGAGGACCGTAACCGTAAAGTGTACACAATTTTGAGTCCCTCGGCTTCCCTCGCCTTTGATCATCTTCATCTCGCTCGATTCTCGCTCTGTCTCCTCATACTGTGCAAAATAACGGAGACGGAAGCGGAGAATTACGAGCAACGTCATTGTCATATGCTCCCACCCTCGCTTCCAGCAAAACCCTATCGAAGAACCTCGTTCTCAGAGTGAAAGGTACAACTGTTGTTTCGTTTCTCTTCCTGCATTGTTTAGCGTCTGTGAGCGGGGATTTTGTCTGTTCTGAGTTACGTGATTTCAACATTGTTAGTACATTTTCTTCAAATTTTCAAATTTATCATGTTTTAGTGAAAATGCGGTTCGAATTTGGTGCTGTTTTGAGCGAGATTGTGTAGCTGTTCTGCATGGTTGGATAATTTTCTTATTTTCTTCCCACGTTATTGGTTTGTTTTATAAAAAATAAAAATTCCTACTTGAAGGTTGTGTGGAGGAAATTTCCTAGATGGATTGGTTGGTTGGTGTTTTTGGGGGAGAAATATGTGGGCTTTCCATAATGTACTTGGCGCTGATGCTCACTTTGCCTTTCTGTTTTGCCGAGGGTCTTGTACGACAGTCTGGTGATTTTGATCAATATTTTGATTTACTACGAAGGATTTGAAGATTATTTGTCAGCTTGAACTTCTGGGTTGAGCTAGTCTTCCACCTTATCAATTTAGTGTTCTCGAAAACATTTTGTCAGACTATGCTAACAAGCTAAATTCACCTTACTTTAAGCTATAGATTGCAAGGAAGCTTAAGCATTATACAAATTGCATTATATTTATTAGAGGATTTATGCACTGAAACTGCTAACTGTAATCTTCTTCCGTTTTTGTTTTCCCCTCATTATTCTTATATCTAGAATTTCACTTCCCCTTCTTACAGTTAAGGGTCCTTATCTTTAGGGTTTTTCTTTTTCTTTTTCTTTTTTTTTCCTTACCTTTACTTCAAGATTTTCATATGATTGTATCTTCTGTTTTCTGTTGCATGAACTTCTGTCTTTTTATCTATCTAAAGTTTTTTTTTAATTCTTTTCCGCATTAGTCTTTTTCTCTTCCAAAAATCGGCTGATGAAGAAAATTGGGTTAGATTATGTTGCCCTTCTTACTCTTTGTAGCAGAACATCATGGTCTCTTAAGAGAAAAGTGCCAAAAAATAGTGCTTTACAGAGCCAATGGGTTAATTGGCTTTTGCAAAAGACAAAAAGAAAACTGTGAATTACTTATAAAACTTGCTCATTTTCACCTATGTTGAATAGTTTACTGTATCCCTTGCCTGTAGTCATAAATAAGTTAAAATGGAGAAAAGAAAATAAACTAAGCTCCGCATGCAAGGCAGAAGTGGTCAAAATCAAGTTGAGAAACTTCATGTATTTTAAAGTGCAGACATACAAGGTGCTTTATGACATGTTCATGATTACTGCATTTAAATTATGATCACTGCTAGTGAAGAAATGCATTCAAATATGATCATATGCATAAGTTGCTTAGCTTTGAATTGTTAAACAATAACATCAAATGCTCAAGCCTTTTTGTATAAGGCGCTTTAAAAGCCCAGACATTTCCTTGTACAAAAGTTCGTTGGTCTTGATGGCTTGATTGAAGAAGCAAAAATCCTAAGAATGGGACTATCTTGTTAATTCTGATGTTTTACTAGTCACTTCCTAAGAAAGAAAAGATAGGATTTTATCAATTATCATTTGAAGTGGGCAAAATGTTGAACGATCACCAGAAACAATCATTTGTATCCATCTGGTCTTTAACTTACTTTGTTTCCTTCATTGGTTTTGATTGACCATTTCTGAATGAAGGGAAAAAGATGGAGAAAGCCGCTCATAGTGATGAAGCTGATGAGATGCCATCTTTGCACCTGCCAATTTCCGGTGCCCCATATGATGCTGAGCCCAAACAGACAGTCCCCATTAAGTATTCTGTTGTCAGTAGGCATGGGTTTGGGACTGTGGGGAAACACGTGTCATTGCTTGCCAATCATTTCCAAGTTTCTATTGGTGTTCCAGATGCAGTATTTTTCCAGTATAGTGTATGCCTCCCTTTCCTGTTCTATATTTTTCATGATATCTTGGACGTTCTCTTATGAAGATGAATAATTTCCAGGTTTCTATTACTTCAGAACATGATAGAGCTGTCGAAAGCAAGGGCATTGGGAGAAAACTGATTGATAGGCTTTACCAAAACTACTCTTCTGAACTTGGTGGCAAAAGGTTTGCCTACGATGGAGAGAGAACTTTGTATACAGTGGGTCCTCTGCCACGTCAAAAGTTTGAGTTCAAAGTTGTACTTGAGGAATCATTAGCAAAATGGTATTCATAATTTATGAATCTTCCTTGTTCCATGTTTTTTTCTTAAAACTTACACTGTTCTCCTGCTGCAGCAGTAGTTCTGGGAGTCCTGGTGGTGATGGCAGCCTTAGTGTTGGAAATAAAAGGTCAAAGCATTCTTTTAAGTTAAAGACTTTCAAGGTAGAGATAAGTTTTGCTTCCAAAGTACCCCTGCGGTCCATTGCTTTTGCCTTAGGCGGAGTTGAGTCAGATCCTAACACTCAGGATGCTTTGAGAGTGCTTGATATCATTCTGAGGCAACAAGCAGCTAGCATGTACTTATTTTAAAGATGTTCTTATAAAAGTTGTATCCAGTGTGTTTTGAATGCCATTGACCTCTTACCTGTTAGCTCTAACCTAATTAATCTAACCCTTCTAAATGTCAAGGGGTTGTCTTTTGGTAAGGCAATCGTTCTTTCATGATGACTCGAGGAATTACATTGATGTTGGAGGTGGGGTAACAGGAGTTCGAGGTTTTCATTCCAGCTTTCATCCTACTCAGGGCGGATTATCTCTCAATATGGGTAGGACTATTCTTTTGCATATCATAAATTTCCATGATCATTAAATTATCCTTTTCCCCCTCAAAGTTCATCTTCATATTTTTATGTCTAGATGTGGCAACAACAATGATCTTAACCCCTGGACCTGTAATTAATTTTCTCCTATCCAACCAGAATGTGAAGGAACCTCGTTATATTGACTGGGCAAAGGTGACCAAGGCTGACCTGTGTGCACAATGTTCTTGCTTACAGATTTGGATCTTTTAATGAGGTTTTCTTTCTTGATATTATATAGGCTAAGAAAATGCTTAAAAATTTAAGGGTACGTGCATCTCATCGCAACCAAGAATATAAAATTATTGGCTTGAGTGAAAAACCATGTAATCAGCAACTGTAAGTTCTTTCATTTTGAAATTTAGAAATCTATTCTATTTCTTTGAAAGAAAAAGGATAAAACTTATTTATCTTATTTCTTTTCTTCAGTTTTAGTATGAAGGTGAAAAATGGTGACGTCAGTAATGGGGTGGAGACAGTGGATATTACTGTATATGAGTATTTTGCTAAACACTGTAGCATAGAACTGACTTCCGCATATCTTCCTTGCCTTGATGTGGGGAAGCCGAAATGGCCGGTCTATCTGCCCATGGAGGTTTGCAATTTTTATGCTTGATAGAACCATTTTTTTCCTTCTATCATCCTTTGCTCCTTCAAGCTAACTGTATTTGTTTCCCCCCCTAATTGTTTCTTTTTCTTTGAGTGGACTAGCTTTGCTCGCTCATTCCCCTTCAACGTTATACAAAGGCATTATCTCCAATCCAAAGAGCTTCTTTAGTTGAAAAATCACGACATAAGCCTCAAGATAGAATCAAAACGATAACAAATGTAAGTTCACATGTATTGATAACTTGTTTTGTCCATCTTGCTACCATATTAAGCCTCATCAAAACTTATAGGCTATGACACATCATCACTATGATGATGATCCTGTTCTTGTGGCATGTGGCATTTCTATCAAGAAGGAATTTACACAAGTTGAAGGTCGAGTTCTTGAGACTCCAAAAGTAAGCCTGACATAGGGTTCATAAGTTGTTATTTATTTTCATAATTGAGAGAGAAAAAGTGAGAGGGATAAGCAAAAGTGATAAGTAGTTGCTTTCCTATCGTATTATTTCAGCACTAAACACACCCTTTACTGTATTTTTATTTGATACACACAGTTGAAGGTTGGTAAGAATGATGAGTGCTTCCCTCGTAATGGCCGATGGAACTTTAATAACAAGGTACTGTATAATCATATTGAATCCAGACAGAGTATTAATTCTAAGACAAAGCCTTTTTTCATTGTTATCTTCAATATGGTTATCTAGTATGCCAATTGGTAATGCTCACTTTCCTTCATTGCAGACACTTCTACAACCAACTCACATTAATCTCTGGGCTGTTGTCAACTTTTCAGCTCGTTGTGATACTAGTTACATTTCAAGGGAGCTTATCAAATGTGGAATGAACAAAGGAATTGTATGTCACCTCGATGATTTTATTGCATTGTAATTTTACTTTGCTGTCATCTTAGTGTTTATTTGGTCACCTGTCTCTCAAAACTACCTATATATGTAAACAGCAAATTGAACGCCCATATACTTTGATAGAAGAAGATTCACAAATTAGAAGATCTAGCCCTGTTGCTAGGGTTGAAAAGATGTTTGAGCTGCTATATGCTAAGCTTCCTGAAGAACCAAACTTAATTCTTTGTGTCTTGCCAGAACGGAAAAATTGTGACATTTATGGTATGTCTTTGAACACATTTTCCTATTTCTTTATGTCGATTTTATAGACAATTCAATGATATTTTGTTAAATTTTAGGACCTTGGAAGAAGAAATGTCTGACTGAAGTTGGTGTTGTCACACAGTGCATTTCTCCTTTGAAGATCAGTGATCAATACCTCACTAATGTACTTCTTAAAATCAATTCTAAGGCAAGTGACGGATTCTTAAGGTTAACATGTTATTAACTTCTGATTAAATTATTCTTTTGGCCCTTCTAGTTTCATTGAGGTTTTATTTCAGTCCTATAATTTAAAACTTGTATTGGATCCTTATTCTTTTGGGGAAAAAAATCAATGTAGTTTCTACCTTTAAACTTCTGTCAGTATTTCATTTCCATGTCATATTAGCATTATGTATATGCATGATTTAATTTTTTTTAAGCCAGCAGAAAAGAATAAAAGTAGACATCAACTTGAAAATAACTCACATTAGTGAATCAAGCGAGTTGGCTTGAATCATGTATCTTCTAAAATAAGTCATGGCTGGTCGCATTAGCATAATTTTAGGTGAAACTTTAATGATAGGAGACAAGGAGTAAATTTGATGTTTTTATAACTATAAGGATCCAATTACAATTTTTTTTAAGGGACTAAATTGAAATTTGACCAAGACTATTGTGGCCAAATGAATTACTTAACCTAAATTATTCTTAGTTTATTTTGCCTTAATGAACATTACGATTAATTCAGATAATTTTGTTTGTTTGTTCCCTTTGTAGCTTGGAGGAATAAATTCTTTGTTGGCCATAGAGCATTCAGGGCATATTCCCCTGATAAATGATACTCCAACACTGATTTTAGGAATGGATGTCTCTCATGGTTCCCCTGGTCAATCAGATAGTCCATCAATAGCAGCAGTAATGTTATCTTTGTACCATCTTTGATTTGGAGAACTTTTTTTTTTTCCGGTTTGCATTGTACTGTCTTTTATTTGAAGAACATTGTTTTTTTTTTGTCTGCATTGTACCACAACCCGTTTGGATTGTCACTTTACCACAATACTGTGTTGTGTAATGTCACATTCTCAGGTTGTTGGATCTAGATGTTGGCCCCTAATTTCAAGGTATAGAGCATCTGTGCGAACCCAATCATCTAAGGCAGAGATGATTAATACTCTATACAAACCTTTGGAAGAAGGGAAAGATGATGGCATGATCAGGTATTAGGTGAAAATGTATATTGGATTGCTGTTGACTGCTTTTATAGATTTTACTACCTTCCCCCCAGTATGACATGACTAGTGACCATCTGTGCATTATAATCTCTTTTTCCAATCCTAGGGTTCCAATATGTCAAAATTTCCTTCTTTTAGGTACTTTTTGTTTTTGCAAATTACTAAGGTTATAAAATCAGTTAAATACATTGGATCACAATTCAATTCCCATCTGCGATGGTTAAAATGAACAAAAATGTTTTATTGTATTTCATCAAACAGAAGATTTTCTTGAAAATTTTTCCTTTTAAGATAAAAGGATCTCTATTTTCAGTCATATTATTATAGGACTTGAAGGTTTATCCAATTTGCTTGTCTAATGGGTGTGAAATTGCTCAATTGTTTTTATCTATTACACTGTATTTAAGAAGGTAAACTTCACTCAGGGTACTGAAAATGAAATGTTTTCTCTGTCAATTCATTATATTTAGCATGACTATATATGTTATATTCATGCATTCAGTAGAATGTAATAGGATGATATGATACATTAATTGTATTTCTTTATTCATTAATTGTGAGTTTCATATGTATAGGCCAACAAATTCCTTATACTGCTATTGCTTTTGCAGAGAACTACTTTTGGATTTCTATCATTCAAGTAATGGACGGAAACCAACTCAAATTATTGTCTTCAGGTGTCATGATTTAACTTTCTCTGGTCAATAGACAAAATATTATTTGGTAACATGTTAGATTGGCAGAACTATCCTCTTTTGTGCTTCTATTTATGATAATATCTTTTACTCATATAGTTGTCTTTTTCTTCTATATTTTTAGTAATGTCTTCTATAAAAATAATTAAGTTTATCATATGAAAAAAGTCTAAATATTTGTTCTTTTTGAAATTTGAGAGCATAATCTGATAAGATGATTCTTCCTTACTAATAGCAAATGCTGTTTTTTCTTAAATTGCTGATTTCTTTTGCATCTCTCCTCTCCTACTTGCTACTTAGTCTGGGGATTGTCTTTGAATATGCTGCTTGTTTTCAAATCTTTCTTATGAAACTCCATGTACACAAATGTAGTGAAGTAAAACAAATTTCAAATTTCCATACACATGCTAATAATTTTTCCTCTGTTTATATGTTTATTGACCAAATGTGTAATTGGAATCCATTTTTGGCTTTCAATTTTACAGATTGCAAAGTTTCTAGAGCTAATACAGGACAACCTAATTCACTGAGCAGTTCAAATTGTCCCAATTTTATTTATTTTCTATTTTTTACTTCTGATAATTTCCATTTAACCTGTACTAGAAATTTGTTCAAGTATTTTGTTGAATGGTTGCACTATATATCATGTTTAAATTGGATGAAATGTGGACGCACATTTTGTTTCTTCAAATTGTCATTTATTACATGTTTGATACTTTTTATTTAGTTATTTATTTATTTTCTGAACTATGTTTTATTTTTAGGGATGGAGTTAGTCAGTCACAATTTAATCAGGTTTTGAACATTGAGCTGGACCAGATAATTAAGGTTTTACTGGAACCCAAGTCTTTCTCTTCTATCATTTATCTTCACTTCAATTTGTGTTAGGATTGTCATATGTAATTTTTTTTCTATGATAATTATCATGGTTCTGCTTTTTTATGATACATCGATGCTGTAATAATACATTGCTTCCAGCAGAACGATAACCTTTAGTTGATGAACTTGTCTAATTAATAGGCCTATCAACACCTTGGAGACGTTGATATTCCCAAGTTCACTGTAATTGTGGCACAAAAGAATCATCACACAAAGTTGTTTCAAGACAATGGTTCAGAAAATGTCCCTCCTGGTGTGCAACTTCTCATGTCCTGTTTATATATAGTTCGAACCAAGTGTTAAAATTTATGACTAATCTGAATTTCCTCTTCAGGGACTGTCGTTGACACAGAAATCGTGCATCCACAGAATTATGATTTCTATATGTGTTCACATGCAGGGATGCTTGTAAGATTGCAGTTTTAGTTCTTTCTCACCCCCTCCTTTTTGACCCTTTTTGTTTTTGGCTTACCCTGTTACTAGCACATTTGATTTCAATAGAATATCGTATCATCATATCAGTTACCTCAGTGCTACTTTTTCATCACTAATGTTTTACCTCGTTTCCTTTGCTCTCTTTTTCTTTTTTGAATAATAGGGAACTCCTAGGCCAGCACATTACCATGTGTTACTTGATGAGATTGGTTTCTCAGCAGACGGCATACAGAATTTAGTCCATTCGCTGTCTTATGTGTATGCTTTCATTCTCCATCTGCTTGGCATGGTCCTGGCTTTAATTTTTTTTTTTTTTTTGCTTTATAATCTTTTTTACTAAGAGAAATATATTGACTTCAGGTACCAGAGGAGTACAGCTGCAGTCTCAGTCGGTAATTTCACCTTTTACTGATTGTCAAATTCTTAGAACAACTCTAGGAAACAGGGAGCCAAAGACCCGTAACTCATAAAATTGAAAATCAAGGACGTCAAAAATCAAAATCCCAAAGGATTATGGGAACAAATTATTTTTAGTACTTTCTAAAGTTATTACTCATACTTTGTAAACCTACTGTAAGGTTATATTATGATCTTCCTGATATCAAGGGAGTGTATTGGGTTTGTTCCTAGTGAGTCAAAACACTTGCAACATCCAGAAGATTAAGTTGTAATTTTTGAGAAAGTGAGTGATTATTTGAGAGTACCAAATATAATTTATTTTTATGGTCTTATTGGAAGGATTTTTGATTTTTAAGGTCATCATTTATCAATTTTACAACGAATGGTTCTTTAAGTGTCATTTACTTGGCGACTTTCATTATTTGCATTGGAAACATGTTTTATTTCTCCTTACAATCTTCTTCCTTTCCTCATTTTCTCCTTCAGTGGCTCCCATATGCTATGCCCACCTTGCCGCTGCTCAGATGAGAAAATTTTTGAAGTTTGATGATTCATCAGAGACATCCTCAAGTTTCACAACTGAACTAGATGCTGCAATCCCGAGCTGCCGCGGTTGCATCGGAATGTTCAGAGTAGCATGTTCTTCTGTTGAGGTGTTGTGTTAGTTGACTGCTCTTGGTAAATACTCTAATTTTTATCAGCCATTGATTTTTGACACTGTAAATATACGGCATGTAGGTTTGGATGGAGGGAAAAGTGAGGAGGATTTTCTAAAAATAGTAAATTTTTTTATTATTTTTAGGAGTTTTCTTTTTTTAGTTTTCTTTTTTATCTATTTCTCTCTCCATCTAAACGAAAGGATAAAGTTATACAATGCTCAGACCAACCAACCAACATTGATAAAAAGTTTTAGGGTGTGTTTGGATTAAAAAATTTACAACTGAGATTAGGATTCAACTAAGGTTAACAAACTGAGGTTAGAAGAAAAGTCAGTTGATATAATGTGATTTATGTTTGGATAACATTTTTTTTAGAAGTCAGTCAAATAAACTGAAATTTGTTTGGATGATTTAATTTAAAAATTAGTTGAGATATTTAATGGCAAAAATAAGCATAAATTTTTTTAATAGATATATGCATTTTAATTAATAAAAAGTAAACAGGCACCTATGATCTATTAATAAATATATGCATTTTCATTTCAATATTATTTATAAATGACTCTCAACAAATTTCTTCACAATTAATTAAGATTTTAAAATTAATTAACTCTCTAAAATTCTAATAAGTTTTCATCTTTATTTATATTATATATTTATTTATTTATTGCTTACATGTCTAATGAAAACAATTATGTTCGAAGCATTTTTTATCATTAAATATGAGTATCTCTTTCTTAAGAGAATTTAAAATTTAATTTATTATATTATAAGGAACTAATTCCTCCCATTAAGTCTAACCTCATAAGTTACATGTTCTAATAAGGCACTTTTTTTTCATCATGTTCACAAGAAAGTAAAAGAAAAAATTTGTAATAAAAAGTTAAAGACATGAAGTATAAATATTACAAAAACAAAATCTTATAAATAGGAACAAACCCAGCATGGTGCCAATATCATTTCAACGAAAGCCACCTTTTTATTGTAGTTGTCTTCATCCCTCTGCTCTACTCTCAGCCATAGCCACCACCATTAGTGGAGCCTCGCCCGATCGGAGCAGACACGTGGCAGTCTTTGCCTTCCCCTACGCCACTCATACCGCTCCTCTGCTTAACCTTGTCATCGCTGCTCCTCACACGAGCTTCTCCATTTTCACCACCCTACAGAGCAAGCATTCCCTCTTATTTTTTAAACTTAGCAACACCCTCCCTAAAGTTTTACACTGTCTCCGATGAAATCCCCGATAGTCTTGACCTCACCAACCACCACCCATCCGGAGGCTGAACGTCTCTCTTAAAGCTGGTCCTCAGAACCTAAAACAGGGCCTAAGTATGGCAGTTTCAAAGAGGAATCTGAGAGTGATGTGTGTGATTTCTGATGCTTTCGTGACTTCATCTCTTGTTCTTGCTCGAGAGTATGGTGTGCCTTGGATTGCTCTCTGGACTTCGTATACTTGTTCTCTCTCTGCTCACTTCTACACACAATTGATTTGCGAAAAGCATCGTGTTGGCAGTGGTGATGAAGATGGAACCTTGGCTTTCATCAATCCTAGCTTTTCAAAGGTGCGAATCCAGGATTTACTAGAAACCATTAGACACACTTTCATTATTTTTGTCTTCAATTTTGGAAAATAATCTGAATCATTATAAGTAAAGCTGCAATCTGGTTCTTCAGTATTAGCTTGCGAGGTCACGGGAGAAGAAAGCATAGTGGAATGAAAAGCAGAGCTCATGCTCGTGGGTTAGATAAATGAGAGGAAAGAGAAAGCACAAAAATTTAAAAGCTAATCAATGCTTCCCAACGACTAGATCAACGCAACGCAAGAAAAAAAGCCACTACTGATAGCTTCTAAATTAACGCTCGTTTAACTCTAACTGAGGTTGATATATTTTGTTAATCCAAACATTATTTTTTAACTTTTTTACTCTCTAACCTCAGTTTGACTCACTCTAACAGAGGTTAGAATGTAAACCAAACATGCACTTAGTTTTATTGACCAACATTGATGGGGTGGGGAGAAGGGACACATGCACGTTAAGTTTTAGACAGTTCTGGATGATTAGTTCTCCTTGGGACAACATTGATAAGTTGTTTTAGTTTTATTTCATGCCATTGCTTACTTGAAGTTAGAACAATTGACATTTCAAGCTGTAGATCTGAAACTTTCCTAATGATGTGTTCAAGATTTTCATTTTACGTTTTATCGTCGGGTGAATGGCTGTTTGTTCTATTTGATTTTGAGCATGCTTAACTGGTGTTTGTGGAAAACAAGAGGGACTTTAATTTCTAACAGTATTGAAGATCCTGAAGGTATTTGTTTCAGGGACAAACTTATTTAATTACAGGGTTAAAGGGGCAAAATTACCAGTATCTGAGTGAAGGAGGATGCAAAAGTACCCCTAACCTTGATAAAATAGATACAAAAGTATTCAAACTGTTAAACTTGACTAATGCTCGTTAATGCTTACTGTTGGGGGGGGGGGAGGAGACAACCGTGAGGTGCAAAAATATACATATAAATTTTTTATGTGAGCTTTTAGTATTTTTAAGTCAACAATGAAGTACAAGTATTCATTAATTTTATAAAAGAGGCCATATAGTCAAGCTTGGTTCTAACAATTTGGACTTTTGTGTTTATTTGAGTTTGGCTGAATTCCCTAATTGTAAAATATTATTTTATTTCATTTTTCTTTTTTAATCAATTTCAATTTTTATCTTAAAAAATTAATTTTTTTTTTCAATTTCTATATAATTTTAATTTAATTTTATTAATAATAAAAAAGAATTCAGGTATTTGAACCCAACTCCATTTGGGTTTGTACTTGGTCTGGATTTATTTTGACTTGTTAAGGTGATTGAATAAGCTTGAAGGAAAGAAAATTTTTTAAACTCCTAAGTTTGATGCTAAGATTCTTCAAACTGGCTTGTTGAATGTGACTCAAATTGTCAGATCTAACTTTTCTTAATATGTTAAAATGACTCGATGTATGTTGACTATGAAGTTTTGAGAATAAAACTTAATATAAGTTAGCCAATTAATTTGAGCCATGTCTAAACCTGAATGAACTTAGCTTGAATATTTAAAATCTTTTTTATTATTAATAAAAAATTAAAATTAGAAAAAATTAAAATTGAAAAAAAAATAAAATTAATTAATATTTTATAATTTAAGCATTCAAGCGAGTTTAAATAAGTCCAAAAGTTTAAGTTATTAGGGTCAAGTTTGATTATAGTGCTTCTTTTATAAGGTTAATAAGTATCCATATAACCATTGTTAACTTTAGGATATTAATAGGTACTCATAGAACTATTGTTGACTTAAAGATATCATATATTTTTACACTTTATATTTGCTTTCTTTTGTTAATGTTTAAGAATGTTAGTCAAATTTAATTGTTTGAATACTTTTGCACCCATTTCATCCATGTTAGAGGTAATTTTGCACTCTCTTTTACTTAAAGATATTGGGTGTCCGGAAAAGAAAAGTTCATGGACATTTTGGTCTTTTAACTCTTAATTATAATGCTGAGGCAAATTTAAAAGATTAAAAATTATATTTTTATTTTTATTTTTATATGAAATGCTTGGTGGAATGCTGAAGATACCCAACTGTTGTCAGCATATTTGAGATTGGTGAGCTTGAATGGTGGAGCAATAAGAGTTTTAGGAAGATGCTCGAGTTGTTGAAAGTCATGCTTTTGAAACAAAATGCACTGCCAGATACGTAATTATGACGGGAAGAAAAATACTATGTTCATTGGCTATGGAAAATTTTTCTAAAATTTTGTTATCATATTCTGAAAATTAACCAAGCATGTAAATGTTTTAAAATAAAATGGTGTATTTTTTCTTAAAAAAAAAAACCAAAGTTAGGTGTAAAACTTTTGGGCTAATAATTTTTTTCATGATAACTTTGTTATCTTATCCTGAAAATTAACCAAATTTATAAATTTTCAGAATAAAATGGTACACTTTTCTTGCAAAAAAAATAAAAAAATAAAATCCGGTGCATCAAGCTCATAGGTTAATTATTATTTTTTTCCAGAAAACTTGTAATCTTATTTTGAAAATTAACTAAACATGTAAATTTTCAGAATAAAATAGTACATTTTCTTGAAAAATTCTAATTTACTATCAAGTTATTTATAAAGTATTTTTTTTTCACTTATCTAGATTTTGAAACCAAAAAATCTAAGAATTGATTTCTATTTGGTTAAAATGTACTTTTGATTTTCTAATTTTATAAACAATTATTTTTTTTAAAATATTTTTTTAATCTTTTAATTTTGATACTATTAGTTTTAAATAATATTTTTTATCTTAATTATTGTTATTTTAAAAATATTAAACTTAACATGTTAACCTATGAGAATTTATTGTTAATATTTAAAAATGTAATGTATAATTTTTTTACAATGAAATTAACCACGTGAGGGTTAAAAAAATGAAAAAATATTTTATAAAATTGAGGCTTTGTTTGAAAAGAACTTTGGGAATTTTTTTTTAAAAATTATTTATGGCCTCGGCATGACCTCATTCTTCTCCCCTATTTTTCCCATTAAAAAAATTGATAGCAACGATGTGACGTGAAGGAGTAAAGTGCGATTCACCATAACCGAAATACATTGAACATCGCTCAATCAAATATCAGTCTCTCTCCCTATCACAATGCGTCCATGACTCCATGCAATGCATCTTCTCCTTTTCTTTCTCTCTCCACTCAACTTGTCCTATTTTTGTTTTATTTATTTATTAACAAACTGTCCCAATGAATTGCATCGGTTTTTTCAGCAGACAATTTTATTTTAATCAACCGAATTAGTTTCGGATGATTTATTTATCTTCCTATTGTAAATTTTAGTTTTCTCATCTGTACTAGGTAATTATAAATTCTGAATAATCAAACAAATTTTTTTATTCTCTATTTTGTTTTAAATACTTAAAAATTCAAATTATTATACGTTTGAGTTTGTCATAAACAGACGAGAATATTTCATATAATTTTCTTATTTAAAATTATCCCATAAACCTTTCTAATCCTCAGTAAATTTATGTTCATTAACAAAAACAAAATTATATTTTTTAATTAATTTTCTTCTCGAATCATCTACAATCTACAAAAAGCTATGATCTGACATCCTAAAATTATCAATGAAGATTCTTCAATTTATAAAATTTTTAAAGTTACTGAAATATAAAAATATAACTTTAAATGTGATTTACTTTGGAATCATATATATATATATATATATATATCAATTAGAATTATATATATAAAGCATAATGCATGAAATTTGAGATAAATTGTATTCTCTCCGTTTAAAAATATAAAACATTTTTTGAAGAGTTAGATATTAAAAATATAAGACATTTTTAGTTTTTCGAGGTATAATCATTATTTTTTTTAAATATCTCCATTGATAATAACTTTATATTTATTATAGGGTATTTAATAGAAGTAAATATAAAAATATATATTTATTTTAAAAATATGTAATTATTTTATTGGAGGTGAGATTCGGTTAATTATACATATGTATATATACACTGTATGTATATACATATAGTGAGAAAATATAAACACTATATGTACTTACATACATATATGTACTTATACCTTTTAAATATATACATATATACTATGTGTGTGTGTATGTATATAGCGTATATATTTTTAAATATATACATATATGTATGTAAGCACATATAGTGTATACATATGTGTATATTTTCTCACTATAAATATGTAAGTACATATAGTGCATATATTTTCTTCATTTAAAATTATACATTATTTTTAACTAACTTTTACATTTAAGAGAAAAATTAATATAATTAAAAATATCTACTTTTTTCATGTCTAACATCATTTCTTATTTAACAGGTAATTTAATCACAAATACATATAGAAATCTCATTAATTTTAAATATTTATTAAATAAATATTTAAAAAGTCTCATTAATTACTCATAAAATATATGAAGTCTTTTATATTTGATATGGAGTTGTGAACATAGTTATAGTCAAGAAAGTTCAGCAGTTCAGGAATTAATAAAGGGCAAGTAAAGAACAAAAATAAATAAATAAATAAGAAATAATTGGAAACGGGAAGAAGGAGAGTGCGTGCATATACGCGCCACAACTCAATGGCGCAAAGAAAAGCATGGACTAGCGAGTCGCCATCACAGTCCGTGATGCTTTTGCTTCTCCCTCTGCATTTTTTGTTTATCCTTCTCACTACAACTTCCTCCTCCTCCTCCTCCTCCTGCTGATGGAAGGATGGATCCTCCTACCCAAATGGACGTCTTCCATCATGCACATGTTCCTCCTTAGCTGATCTGCTCCTCGATGGTTGCTTCTGCTTGGTAATGTTAATTTGCTCTTCACTTTATAATTTGGCTTTGGATCCGAGTATGAATGTTTATTTTTTATAGGTCGTGTTTTTGGTCGATGTGTTGTTAGTTAAAATATCTGAAGACTTTGTTCATCATTGCTAATGGTCACTAGCTAGCAAAGTAGTAGTAACCATTCTCATGGGTTCATAGCCCAATCCAAGTAACACCCTCTTTTTGAAGGTGAAGGGAATAGTTATGCTTTCGCATCTATTCCTTTCTCCCTTGTTTGCAAGTGTGATCTGGAATTTTGTTCATTCTGAGATGTGTGTTTTGTAATTTTTATGTAATATTTGACACTTTAAGTCATTTCTGGAATTTCTGGAATTCATTTCGTTTGTCAATCTGCAAGAATACGGTTTATTTTATTTTATTTTATTTTTGGGAGTGGGATTGCCTGGTTGTTCTGCATTGTTTGATTTTTTTGTTTTTGTTTTTGTTTTTGGCCGTGTTATTTATTTCTTTGACTGTTACCTGAAGGTTGTTTGGAAATAAATTGGGTGTTGGATGGCTGGAATGTTGGCTACGAAATAACTGGGTTTTCTGTTATATTTTGGGTTGGTGATTTTATAAATATTTACCTTAACTGGTGGCCCCTTTAAGAATATTTACATGTGATTAGGGGATTTAATGTTAAGAAGCTTTAGTAATTAGAGTCTTCGAGATTTTAAGTTGATTTTTTATGGAACAAGTAATTGCCCTGCGTTTTGCATGGGATGAAGCTCTTGGGATGAACCAGTCTTTCATATGGTCATGGAGCCCTTCCAAATTTTTAGGAGTCTGATTCTTGCCACCATCATTCTTCATAATTAAAGTTAAAATATGAAATTTCAGCACTAAGGTTTTGTGCTTGTCCACACTAAAGGGATCATCTTAGAAATTAGAGTACAACTATTAGTTGGGTTTTACTTGATGGTTTAAGCTTTTGAGTGTTCAATTGAACCAATCTTTGGCAGTGGTTCACATGAAGTATAAAGTTCAAATATATGTACTGTCATGAAAATAAAATAAAATTTTCTTCTTGTGAATGACTGTTATATCTTATGCTATTGTTTGAATTCTTCAAATTATAATTGACCACCACAAGTGCATATCAAAAGTTTAGATTTTGGTTATTCAATTAAATTCTAGTTTGTTGACAAATATTTTTCTGCCCCCTGTATCTGTTCTCCTTAACTTTGTGAAATAGTATTTTGTGATGCTTATTCTGCAATAACCCATCTTTTGGTGTTGCCAGATTCATTCATATGTTTGATTGATGATGGAGTCTTGTGATTGCATTGAGACGCAATGGCCCCAGGATGAACTTCTTATGAAATATCAATACATCTCAGACTTCCTGATTGCTCTTGCATACTTCTCAATTCCCGTTGAACTAATTTATTTTGTGCACAAGTCTGCATTCTTTCCATATAGATGGGTGCTTATGCAGTTTGGTGCTTTTATTGTTCTTTGTGGAGCAACTCATTTCATAAATTTGTGGACATTTTCGATGCACAGTAAAGCTGTTGCTCTGGTGATGACTGTAGCAAAAGTCTCATGTGCTATTGTGTCTTGTGCAACTGCACTAATGCTTGTCCACATTATTCCTGATCTATTAAGTGTGAAAACTCGTGAGCTGATTCTCAAGAACAAGGCTGAGGAGCTCGACAGGGAGATGGGACTCATTCTTACACAAGAAGAAACTGGAAGGCATGTTAGAATGTTGACTCATGAGATTAGGAGCACTCTTGACCGGCATACCATTTTGAAGACTACACTTGTTGAATTGGGAAGGACTCTGCGCTTGGAGGAATGTGCGCTGTGGATGCCATCAAGAAGTGGTCTGAATCTTCAGCTTTCCCATACTTTACACTACCAAGTGCAAGTTGGATCTGCTGTGCCAACAAACCAACCTATCGTCAATGACGTTTTCAATAGCCCTCGAGCAATGCGAATACCACATACCTGTCCACTGGCTAAAATCGGACCACTTGTTGGAAGATATGTGCCACCTGAAGTTGTTGCTGTAAGGGTGCCTCTCTTACATCTCTCAAATTTTCAGATTAATGATTGGCCTGATCTTTCTGCCAGAAGCTTTGCAATCATGGTTCTGATCCTCCCTACTGACAGTGCTAGAAAATGGCGAGATCATGAGTTGGAACTTGTTGATGTTGTTGCTGATCAGGTTCTTTTGAGATTTCTTTTCTCTGTTTGGCTGCAAACTATTATTGTCTTGTTCATTGTTCTTGTTTCTTATGTATAGAGTTTCATATTTTTATAATTTTATAATTTTTTCATCCTTGCTTGGGGTTGGAGAATAAGAGGATTACAAAATGGCTTCATACCATTGCCCGTGCCTTGAGCAAAACAATGTATATGTTTTATCCTCATTTTGATTCCAGATAGAAACTAGACTAATCATCCTTGGAGAGCTTAAACAAGTAAAAATAAACACATGCTTGTTTCTGATAACATGTATTGAGAGGGATAGACTTAATCATTCACCATCCCATCTTATATAAGTTTAATTATTGACAACTTTAAATGCCACTCCTCCCCCTTTAAAAAAAAAAAAAAAAACTAAAAAAGGTTGGACCCCATTTTGTAAATAATTTATTCCATCTGGTTCCTTTAATGCTTCATGTTTGGTCGGTTTTTTATATTTTGTCACCAAACGTGGTGATGCTTAATTATCAGTGCTAAAATGTTTGGGAATTGATTTTGTAGCATCATTTTATAAATTTGATTCTTTCAAGTGTTGTAAAGCCATATATTCCTCTACAAGCTGAATTTATTTTCAGTTTCCCAATAGGTAGCAGTTGCCCTTTCACATGCCGCTATTTTGGAGGAGTCTATGAGAGCCCGTGATCAACTTATGGAACAGAATGTTGCTTTAGATTTAGCTCGACGGGAAGCAGAGATGGCAATCCATGCTCGCAATGATTTCCTCTCTGTCATGAATCATGAAATGAGGACACCAATGCATGCAATTATAGCGCTGTCATCACTTCTCCTGGAGACAGAACTGACTCCAGAGCAAAGGGTTATGATAGAAACAGTATTGAAGAGTAGCAATGTATTGGCAACACTTATTAATGATGTTCTAGATCTTTCTAGACTGGAAGATGGTAGCCTTGACTTGGAAATGGGAAAACTCAATCTTCACGGGGTTTTGGGAGAGGTAATTACCGTTAGTTTTTTGCTTCAGTGTCTTGAAAAATTGAGCTATCGCAGATTGGTAATCTGACTCTCTGTTGTTGGTGAAGGAAGCAGTTCTGACTCCTGCCTCCTCCAACTACCAATGTCTTGTTTGATAATATTCGTGAAAAATATTTTCCTTGAACGACCCTTGTATATGTATTCATTTTGTGATCACTTTAATGTAGGTTATCAATATGATAAAGCCTATAGCATCCGTGAAGAAGTTACTTATGACACTGATTTTGGCCCCTGATCTGCCTATGTATGTCATTGGTGATGAGAAAAGGCTTGTGCAAATCCTCTTAAATGTTGTGGGTAATGCTGTCAAATTTACTAAGGAGGGCTATGTTTCTGTAAGAGCATCTATTGCAAAACCTGAATCTTTACAGGATTGGCGACCTCCTGAATTTTATCCAGTTTCAAGTGATGGTCATATCTACATACGCATACAGGTTAAAGACTGAACCATCTGATTATATGAATCAGAAATATCTTGGCTTTTGCATGTTTAATTTCCGTACCATCTAACCATCTTCATCTGTGTTATAGCCACACATTGTAGTGCTTCAGATATCCAAATGATTAATGGATCGTTTATTAAAGCATGGATGCCTAAATGAGACAAGGACTAAGCCAAGGGGCATTTCTCTTGTTGGTTTTGTCAATATTCAATGAATTTAAATTAGTCATGTTACAGCCAACTAAAGTTTGTGTGAGTGGTAGAAGCTTTTTTTGAATGAAAGGAAAGATCTATTAAATAATCAACAAAACTGTACAAGAAACAAGCCCAGGAACTGGGTCACCACCTTTTGCAATCTACCCTAGTGGTAGAAGCTTTTGTTACTTAAGGAAGTAGTTGGAGATTTGAATTCAAGTTCTTGTATATGTAACAATTTAGTTGAAAAATGTCTATTCATTGCTCCCAATACTTTGGGAAAGATATTTTCTGCTATCGGCGGGGTCTACTTTTTATGGTTACCAAAAAGTTAGTCATGTTACGCATCACATCTCCTTGGCTATTGACCCAAGTATCCTTGTTTATGCAGGTTAAGGATTCTGGATGTGGCATTCTCCCACAAGACACTCCGCATCTTTTTACCAAGTTTGCTCAATCTCGAAGCGGACCAGCTCGGCCTGCCAGTGGTGCAGGCCTCGGGCTTGCTATTTGTAGGAGGTAGATAATAAATCCTATCTCTATATGCAAAAAGCTTGAAATGTAGTTATCATCATTCACTGTAAATTGCAGGCAATTTTAAGATGTTCTTCACCTAGCGCAACACTATACTTGCATCTATCCCAAGGGGATACGCAGTTCACTACACATTAAATTTTAATTCTTGACTTATTTTCAAATTTGATCAGATTTGTAAATCTCATGGGAGGCCACATATGGATTGAGAGCGATGGCCCCGATAAGGGAAGTACAACTACATTCATTGTTAAACTTGGGATCTGTGGCAATAATCCAGAATCATCTGGTCACCAACCTTCTGATAGAAGTCAAGCATATAGTGGAAGTGGAAACCTCACTGCATATAAACCTTTTGTCAAAGATAACGATGATCGAGGCTTTCCTAACCGACGCTATCAAAGAAGTGTGTAGCAGCCAAAAACACCGGCATTACATCACGGGATTTGGATCAATGGTTTCACTTCCATTCTGAAACCTTTTCATTTTGGAGGTGAGAAAGGGTAAAATTTGCAGATTGCAGCTGTAAACTAGGAACGCTGTGTCAAGCGGTTCCTATGAAATTAGCTTCATATCAGATATTATGAGATTTAAAGGAAGAGGGTCAATGATCCGTTCCAATGTATTATTATTTGTAATGCTGTTTCTCTGCAATCGCAAAAGGTTGTGTTCTGGGATGATATTTGAGTAACCTAATTACTCTATTGACGATATGAAATATAATTCAAAAGATTAAATGATGACTAGTGAAGATTTAGTTTTAGCAAGGACGTGAATACTTTTCTTGGTTAACTCGTAGGTCAATTGAGTGTTTTAAAAAAACAAAGGAAAAAAGAAAGAAATTGAGAGGTTGTTTGAAAGTATTTTTATTTTATTGTTTTAAGAATTTGTGTTTTGTAAAACATGTATAAAAAAAGAAGATAAAAATAAGTTTTTTTTTCTCCTTTAAAATTATAATCTCATAACATTTAAAAGTTATTTTAATTTATTTTTTAAAATAATATTTTGTTTTTTTATTTTTAAAAAACATTTTTAAAAATTATATTATCAAGTAAATTTTTTTATTCTCTTGTTTTCAAACAAGCCCTGAGTTTCTTGCAGGAGGGACTGGGTACCTGAGCATCGTTTATGAGAGTTCAATGCCAAACTAAAGTAATTGTACGGGGTGCAATTTCTTTCAGAAGTTTCTGACAACGGAAATTTTTTTTGGGCCGGTGGGGGTGGTGGTTATGTATGAGTCCGAATTGTACAAGCTATAATATTTAGCAATAATAAAAAATTAAGAAAAAATTATTGAGAGGATTACAGTTAAGTCTCACAAAAAAAAATTAATTACTGTAAGATCTATTGACAACTAAATTAAACTACATTGGCAACTAATTGTATTGTCAATATAGTTTAATTTAGGTCAATGGACCTTACAGTAATTAATTTTTTTATGTAAAACTTCAATGTAATTGTCCCAAAATTATTGGGAAAAATTACATCTAGGTTTCACAAAATTATTTTACTATATTTAGTTGTTAATCTAACTTTGTAATATTTAATTGTGTTTTGTGAGATTTAAATGTAATTCTCCTAAAATTATTCTTAAGGATCAAATTTAGTATTTATTTTTCAAGCATTTTGAATTTATCATATACATAATGTAAATTTACTACTTGAAATATGAATATTAAATAATGTAAATTTACAATTCAAATGATGTGTAACGTTTTGAGTTAAAGAGTATTTTTACTTTTCAACTAATTATTGAGGAGCATATAATATTTTAGACTTTTATGTGATGCCATTTTCTCTTTTAAGATTTGAAATTAGTGCATTGAGTATCGTGTCATTAAAAATATTAACTTTATCCATTAGTTAACTTAAAAATTGTAGAAAAGAATTTTACAAAATAATAGAAAATGACTCATAAAATTACATATAAGTACTCTATAAAAAAATAATATCAATTAAGTTATCTAAATTACATATAAATATTATTTTAAAGACTTAATTGATATTAATTTTTTATAAGTTATTTATTTTCAATTTTGTGGGTAATTTTTTATAATATTTTAAGTTTTTTTTGTAACTTTTTCGGTTAATTAACTGTAAAAGTTAATGTTTTTTTTTTTTTCAAAAGCTCTTGGTGCCCCATTTTAAAGCGTTGAAAGAGAAAATTACATCATATATAAGTTTAGAATACCATATGCTTCTAAGCAAATAGTTGAAAGGAAAAAATATCCTTTAATCTATCATTATTTACCATTTAAATAGCACAAATTTATAAGTGAAACTATCAGCATTTACCATCAAGGATCCTTGGAATGAATAATTCTTTAACATGGTCCTAGAAAATAAATTGTCCAACAACTAACTACCCACCACATATAGTGAGAGAGAATTTTCTGGGCTTAGTGAACATGTTTTTCAAACATTAAATTTGACAACCAAAAACTAGACAAAAGTCATAATTTGGTCTTAATTAAAATAGTAAAAATTCTACTTTCTGAATAATGAACTCATTTGACAATGAAATGTTTGAACTTTTGAAGGCCTTAATGTTACTCGTGAGTCAAAATAAGTTTCTCGTGAACCTAACTTGCAAAGTCAAAAGTAAGCTATTTGGTGATCATAAATTGTTGAATATTTTTTTTTGGTCAACCATAAATTGTTGAATAAAAGTTTAATAATTTTGAGAATTAGATGCAACCTAACGAAAAAGAGGACCAAATTGACCGGTTTGATTAAAAAATCAGTTGGCTAGTGTCAGGTTTCGTTCGAAGTTAAGGTGGAATTGGAAGCAATAATGTTATTCAGAATTGGATTAAATTGGCCAATTTAACCAACCCAACTGAGAACTAACTTATGGTTCGATATGGTAAGGGTGCAAAACTTAGAGAAAAGTCAACTAGTCAAAAATGGTTGAGAACCAATCAAAACTGGTCAGAATCGGTTTGCATTTTTTTTTTGATGAAAAATCCCAAAAACCCAACATTATGTTATTTTGTGTTTTTATTTATCTTCTAGTTGATATTTCTCTAGTGTTATTGGGGGGTGATATGATGATGGTAATTTTAGTTAATAATTGAAACTTGTGTTGGTTTGGTTAGATAATTAATATGTCATACTTGATTAATTTTGTTATTTGTAATGGACAATACATACTTTTATTATAATATTAGTGTAATTGACTATGAATTTGACATGCATGATAACAATATTATCAAATATTGTCTATTTTTTTTATTTTTCACAATCGTCTTTTTTTGCCACAGATTTCTTGCATAATCATGAAATTTTATTATTTTAATGGAGACCAATTGAATCACTATCTAAACACGTTTCAACAACAGTTTAGTAAACCAATATCTTGAAAACAAAGTAGAATAACTCTTATCTTTAACTAAAGTTAACTTTGATTATTAACAGAAGTCAAATATGGACTAGCTCCTATAGTAGCCAAGATAAAAAATGCAAGCAAAAACCAATTCAACATGCATGTATCATGACAAAACCCCAATTGGCACTGTATTCAATTGCAAATACATAACCAAAAATATTACAAAGCAATCACCGGTCTCTATCTTTAGTAGCTTCCCCTCTTCCTCTACCTGGGTCCCCTCCTGTAAAATAATAATTTACAAGGTGAGATAAAAATTTCAATAACTAGTGAACTGACTTGAATCACATGCATGGGCATGCAAAGTAGGCATATTCAAATTCATCATTTAAAAACCCTTAGATGCAAGTCAAACCATTCATGCTCATACATGATCAATGCACCAATGTTATACCCTTATGTTACTTCTAATTGACCTTATGGGCTATTAATACAAATAGGACTAGTTCATTTATCTAGGGATGATAAATAGTGTTGAACTTCAATTTCATCCCTTAAGCCTTTTATAAGGATCCCCAAAATTTTGATGTGATCCTTAGGTTCTAATTGGATACAATGCTACTCAGTACCCCATGTAGTCTTAGAATCTCTTTTACATATAACTTGGTGAATTTCTCAAGTGCATAGGAAATCTTAATGTCCAAAAATTAAGCCAATTTGGTGATTCCATCTATGGTCACCCAAATGGCATCATTACCTAAAGCTTTCCTTGATAGTCCTGTGATGAAATCCACAAAAATGTTATCTCATTTCCACTTTGGGATATCTAAAGGTTGCGACAACTCACCAGTCTTCTAATATTCTATCTTGACCTTTTGACAGATCAAACACCGTGTAACATACTTGGTAACTTCCTTTTTCATCCTTAGCCACTACTAACCTTGCTTCAAATCATAGTACATCTTAGTCACACTGAGGTGAATGGTGTATTGGCTTCGATGTCTTTATATTAATAGGATGTTTCTCAAATGCTAGTCATTAGGTACATAGACCCTTTCCTTATACCTTAGCACCTCCTCATTAGTAACCTCGAAACATGGGGCCTTGCTCGATTCCACATCCTTCCTTATGCCCATCAAGTAATCATCACTTCAGTATGCAACTTTAATATCTTCCCAAAATTGAATCCTAAAGTATGTTATCTAGAGTGCAACTAACTAATGTTCAATCACATCGACTATGACATCATATAAAGTATTCTAGAGTCAATGTTCTCTAACCATCATGTGAGTGCTATGAAGGGTCTTCCTACTTAAGGCTAGCCATAATATTGTCCTTACACAGATGGTAATGCAATTCAAATTCATAATCCTTCAAAAACTCTATCCACCATTGCTGTCTCATGTTGAGTTCCTTCAAGTCAAACATATATTTAAGGCTTTTATGGCCATTCGCTAAAGATATTGAACTTAGATCCATACAAGTAATGTCTTCAAATATTAATTGCAAACACCACTGTAGCCAACTTTAAGTCATGGGTAGGGTAATTTTGTTGGATAGGGAGGTGTAGCGAAAGATTAAAATTTAAAATTTCTATCTCGATATGGACTGAATGAACTCGTTTAAGTCAAGGTAAAAGGAAGAGTTACCTTTTCTTTTTGTGCTTCACGTGCGTTCTTTTCAAGAATCTAGATCTTAGGAGTCGACAACATAGATCTGCTCCCTTTATCGGTATCCACACGAATAGCTTTCTAACTAGAACAGCAGGCTAGCACTCCTAACATCTGTTCGTCTTTGAACATTAATTTTTCTTTCTCTAGGGTGTTTCTTGGCTCTCAAAATGTTTGGTCATCAGAACCTTTCTAATTCTCTCTCTTGAGTACACCCCCTCCTACATCATATATATATATATATATATATATTAGGGTTTTTTTTTGTCTTCCTTTAATGAGTCAATGAAAATTTAATTAAATTTCTCTAATAAATTTAATCCACGATATCATATCTAATTTGAATTTATCTTATAAATTTAAATTATAAAACTAACATAATATTCTCTCATATCAAGTTAGTTATTAAATTTAATCTATCACATAAAATTAAATTGAAAACTAACACAACACAATACAACACAATACAATACAGTGTATGTACACACAAAATTACACATATATGCATATATATATATTGAGGAAAAATATATCTATATGTTATATTATATTTTGAATTTTATATTTCATATAAATATATATAAATATTTATCAAATAAATATTCATATATACATATATATAAAATTCATTCACCCTATATTGCATTCATTGAATCTAGATATATTTCATATTTAATGAACTTAGATATTATAGCTCGAGTTGGGTTGTTTTTGCATGCGCCCTTGTAGGTTCATATGAAGT